CCCCCCCTCCCCCAGTCTGAGGCTGTGTGCTTTTTAAGTTGGTTGGGAAGCGGCGCTGGTTCACCCAGAGAGTTGAATGCGTCTGTAGGGCCGGGGCACAGACAGCCACGCACTCTCCTGTGCGCCCGGCGCTCCTTGTGCAGGGTCTCGCCCAGCTCCGTGACACGGTCCATCTCCCGTGCCCTGCGCTCCCAGCGCTGCTGTCCCCCTGCCTTCCCCAGCACTAACCACTTGGTTTCCACTTTCCTCCCTGAATGCATTATTTGCATATCAACTTCTGTAAATGTTTTGTAAACCTATTACCTCACTCTTGGTAATACAATACTGATAGTCTTTACAAGATTTTTTATTGTTATCGATAATAAATGTGAGCTGTTTAAAGAAAAGTGTCTTTCTCTTACTGTGACGTCTCCTGGAAGAGCCTGTCCTTCTTAAGGGGCTGGAGACGGAGGAGGCGACACCCGGAGCGAGACTGTCTGTGCTGCGCTTCACCGGCTCGCCGTGCCCGTGGGCCGAAGGCTGCAGTTTTCCTTAAGCGCACAGCAGGGCCTGACACGGATGTGGCCCGAGGCCGATGCGATGTTTCTTTAGTAGAACAGCGGTTCCCAAGGCAGGTGGCTGCAGGCGGAGCCGATGGGCAGGGGGTCTGCAGGGTGGCGGGGCTCACGTGGGCAGAGCAGCTCCTGCCTCCGCTGCTGCCAGGACCTCCAGGTGCGGGATGTGTTCTCGAGCAACAAGCAGGCTGCACCGCTCCGGGTGCATGTGTGTGGAGAGGTTGAGGGGTGGTCACACATACCCTAAGTTCTGAGTGTGACTGTAACAAGCAGGTACAGGAATGCATTCATGCGTTTGATTTTGTAATCCCAGAGTTAGCAACTCCGGCGCACAGTATGCAGATCGGAGGGAAATGGATGCCAATGAGCGGGACGTTGGTTCTGTCTGGGGCCTGTTCTGCCTCCCTGCGATGGCACCGGACAGCAGCAGGGTTTCTGTCTCCCTCCCGGCACGTCCCGAGCCCCGAGTCCCGAGTCAGCGTGTGTCCTGCCCCTGGAGGGCTGTTGTCCTGGAAGCCGGGCTGGGTGTCTGCAGGCCCAGACGCAGGCGCCCCGCTGCGCTGACTCCCCGCTCCAGGCCTCAGCTCTGCCCTTGACTCGTGGCGTGACCTCGGGGAAGCAGTCGGCCCCTTTAAATCTCAAGAGGTTATTCTCTGGTGGCAGGAGCTGGCATGCATGGTGTGTTGGCACCGAGCCTGGAACATGCGTGGCAAGTGTCCTATACACATTAGCCGCCGGGATGAGGCAGGCCCTTCCGATCACACGCTCGGGTTCAGCCCTTCCTGCAAGGCGGTCCGGCTGATCCATCCGCCAGGCCCGGAGCCGCTTCGCTTCGTCCGGCAGGCGCAGCCCAGCGGCATGGCCATCGCTGTCCGCTGTGCTTCCCATCGCTCCACCTTCACGGCCGTGGCGGAGGGCAGAACCCCACACCAGGTGCTCAGCCAGGCCGTGCATCCGAGTCCACTGGTCCTGCGGCCGTGGTCCTGGACGGGCCCCAGATGGGCACGGGGCCCAGAGCCCGGGTGCAGCCACACCGCCCCGGGGGCCAGCTCAGGTGGGCTCCCCAGGCCGGGGCTCAGGCCACCGTGAGGGTGGTGGTGGTTGAGAGACCAGCTAAAGCACCAAGAACAGTAACAGTCCGCACTCTCCGGCTGAATCTTGCTGAACTCCATTGAGTCATTAAAAGATCAATGAACCCAGCCCCGTAGTCCAGAACCCCTTGCCTTGGGATTTCACAACGCCCGCCTTGGGCGCTTCCCCAGGACCCAAGCCAGACCTCGGTCCCCAGCGCGTCCGAGCCTCCGGTAGGACTTCAGCAGACGAGCCGCCCTGAGCCACGGGGCCAGCACGCACCCACGGGGCTTCTGCCTGTGAGCCGGGCCGGCGTGGCACCGCCCTCCGTGCCCCTGTGGACGAGGACTGCTGCTCACCGGCCCAGCGGCCTTTCTCAGGCCACAGATTGTCAGACGGTCCTGGTGGGGCCCCCACACCTCGCCCTGTGGGACCTCACTGGGAGGGTAGACACCCCTTCCACGGAACTTGTGCTGGGAGCGTCTGCGGGGTTCGCACTGCGCCCCAGAAAGTCCCGTGGCCTCAAACGACAGCTTCTTCCTGGGAAATGGAGCGAGTCCTCCAGGCTCATGGGAGGGTGCGTCCAGGTGGCGGGCGGGGCGCAGGCTGGTCTGCAGGGCCTGGGACGCGAGGAACGCCTTGAAACGGGGGCCAGAGCCCCCACAGCGAGCGACGCAGGGCTCAGAGGTCTGGGGAGCGGGGGCGCTGTTGGCCAAGGGGGGGCCTCCCACAGTCCAGAATCCTCTGGGCGGCTCCGAGACCTGGGCCCCACTCTGGCCGTCCAGGTCCCCGGTGGCTCTGTGGATCCTGGACGAGGAGAAAGTGGCTCCTGGGGTCTCAAGGGCTTGTGCTGAGAGCCCACGGCCCCCGGCACCAGGGAACTTCAGGCAGCCCCCCCACGGAAGGGCCCAGCTCACTCTGGTGGTGGCTGCCCACATCCTCCCTGGGCTCTGCGCTCGGCCCTTAGTAAAAGTTAAAAAAGCCGTGTTATGAACAACGTCAAACGCATGGAAATGCACAGAAGCAGCGTCAGAAGGGCCGCGGGCCATCGTCTTAACCAGCGTGAGCGTGTGCCATACTGACTTCATCTGGTTTCCCCTAACTCTAATTTTAAAATACGTTTCCAGCTTCGTGACATTCGTGTGCCGTGTTCGGGGCTGTAGCTCCAGAGCCCAGAGGACGGTGGGGCAGTGGGAGCGGGCGAGCGGAGGAGTGGGGGGCCGTGGGAGTCGGGCCCTGCGGCACCAGGAAGGCTGGCTGTGGGCCTGCGGGACTGCAGGGTGCTCTGGTCTGGGGTGTGTGTGTGTGTGTGTGTGTGTGGCAGCAGGCGGCTTTGGTGACACAGGATAATTGTTCTCTGGTCCCCTTGCCCCCCCCCCCCCCAGTCCTGCTTGTCACTCTTCCTGCTTCTCTGGAATGGGGAACAGCAAATGGTCACTCCTCCCACTTTTCTGATGGGGACACGCACCCAACACCCATTCCGACGGGCGACAGTGCCACCTGCTGGAGCACCTGGGGTTTCCGCGGCTTTTTCTGGGGTGACTGGCAACTCCCGACGGAGGAACAGACTTTGCTGCCCTCTCTGAGTGCCTCGAGCGTCGCATGTGTGAGAACCCGTGTTTCAGCCGTCACGCGTGGTTTAGAAAACGCGAGAGGAGACCCGACTGTCCTGTGACCTCACAGCTCTGCCCGAGTCAGCGTGGAAACACCTCCTCGGGGGCACCAGGGGGCGCTGGCGAGGCAGGCGACTAGGGAGATGGGAGCAGAAGGAAAGGGAGACCCCAGCAGCCAGTTGTTTTCTGTCTTAATCCTTTTCCTTCCAGAAACATAGAAAAGGCTTCCCAGCCCAGCTCTGTGCTGGAGAAAGGGGGGTGGAGGGGAGCGGGGGGCACAGCCGGCTCAGACCCTCCGAGCCTCAGGTCCTTGGTCCAGAGCTCAGCCCAGGAGAGTTCAGCAGGCCTGGGACTGGGGCCTGGGAGGGGTCAGAGGCAGCGTCTGTGGCAGGCGGTCTCTCTCTCAGCTGGCACCTGGCCAGGCGCGGGCGCTGCTCCCTTGTCACGGGGAGCTGAGGCTCGGAGGGGTCTCATGGGGCAGTTGCCCGGCAACCACCAGGCCTGTCCTGTGCCCTGACCCTCTCTTCCCTGCTGGGGCCTGTCTGTGGCTCCCCCCACACCCCCCTTTAGCTGGGGCCTGTCTGTGGCTCCCCCCACACCCCCCTTTAGCTGGGGCCTGTCTGTGGCTCCTGGAAGGCGTGACCTGGTTCGCCCTAAGCAGAGGCCCTGTCCCCACCCCCAGACCTCCGGCCTTGCTGCCAGCTCTGCCCAGCTCTCCTGCCCCCAACATGTCCACCAGGGGCCACTCCTCTGACCGGCGCCCACCGTGCGTGGAAGCCTGTAATTTCCTAGGCTGAGTCACTGCCGGCGGCTGGAGCGGGTCTGCTGCTGTGGGCCCCGGGCGGCCGGGAAGGGAGCTGCGGGCTGCACCCTACAGTTAGCAGCCCAGGGACCTGCTTCCGGGAGCCTTGCCTGCAAATCCTTAAAACAGAGTCCACACAGGAGTAACCACTGCGCTACCCCGCACCCTTTCCCAGAGCTGACTCCTTCCTGAAGTCTTTACATCCACGATTGCACCCTCTTCGCGGCAGCGCTGGTGAGGCTTGCTGTCCCTGCTCCTCCCGTCCCCACGTGTTCGGACCGCCTCCACCGTCTGATGTCATGTGTTCTAGCTGCCGCGTTTCTGTGTCCCCTTTCGCTCTTCTGCTGGGCCGACGCGGGTTTCACCGTCATCTTCCCTCTGTTGGTTCCGAAGCCGCAGGGTGCAGCCTTGGGCAGGCGTTGAAATACAGACATTGTCCTCACCAAGTTGGAAGCCCTTCAGGATGCCACGCGCCTTCCACCGAACATAACGCCCCACAGGCTGTTACTGTTGTTAGAATTCCCGTCTCACTCTCTGTCACACACGAGGTTAGCTGTTCGCGCAGCCAGTGGTGAGGAGTCAGCCAGCGTTTCTGTGTGCACTCTTGTTCCCGAGTCCTCTCTCCCCTCCTGGGCCGGCTTTCTCCGCGCGATGTTCACCCTTTCGGGGTGAGCCTTTCGGGGATGGCTTGTCGGGGGCCACTCTTTCCGAGACTCTGTGCGGCCCAAGACGCCGGCACCGCGTGCGCACCCCCCAGGATCGTTCAGCTGGCTGCGCAGTTCTCGGGGGACAGTTGTGTTCCTGTGGCCCTAGAAACTCCTGCCCCGGACCAGTCTGCTTTGTGGGTGATCGGTCGTCTTGTGTCGGACAGCTTCTCGGCTTTTCTCTCCTCCCTCCGATGTCGTACAGCGTCGCTATGAGGTGAGTCAAACCTCGGTTCTCGGACGGCTCCATCGCTAACAATTCGCTTTTTAGCCCGACGCCCCTTTCATTTTTATCTGCTTCACGTGCTCATCTCTGGGCCCCTTTCTCAGCCATCTCTCCCAGCTCCCTGGCTCCGTTTTCCGTGTGTCTGACCCGGTGTATTCTGTCTGTGGAGCTGCGACTTTCAGGAAGCACACCGTTCAGTTCCAGGATTTCTCATCGACTCGTTCTCACGACGACCTGTTTTTGCTTCGTCTAAGCCAGTTTTGCTTTCCTAGGTTTTTCTGGTCTTCGATGACCCTAAGCGTTTTATCTGAGAATTATTTCCGTTTCCTCTGGAGTGATGTCACCTCTCCATGGTGGCTTCTCTTGGTCGTCTTTATTAGCTTCAGCCTTGCTCATGTTTGGGGGATCAGGTGGGTAGGCTCGTCTCGAGTAGCTGATTCTCTTCAATCTCGTCTTCCTCTCCCTCCACCTCATTTCCAGCCGCCCCCACTGGGCCCCTGGTGGCTCCACTCCGGGAAAACGAAGTCATTTGTGTTGGCTCAGAGCACCCATCTCCTGGGGGAATGATGGGGGTGTTGGGGTCCCTTTCATTGAGTCCCGGGGGGGGGTCAAGGCCCGGAAGTTGTAGCTGTTTCCCCCACTCGCCCAGGTGCACAGCTGGGAGCCCCGCGGCCCCTTTGCAGAGCGCGGCTCCGGCTCCTGCCTCGTTCGGTGTCTGCTCTGAGGCGGGGGCTGTCCTTTTATTACGGCGATGTCTTGTAAGTTCCTCTTTTTATCGTTTATTTGTCTTTGCTACATGGGATGCCTTGAGAAATGAACTTTAAAGTGCCATCTATTTTTTACACTCTAAATATTTCCTTTTATTGTGAGTCCATTAAAAACAGAAAGCCAGTGTAAACTTTCAGTTTCCTGGAATGTAATGGGTTTGGAGGTTAATCTTAAGAAATAAAACCTCATCAAACCGGCCCCCGTGTCAGCTCCGAGGAACATTTTCCCACAGCGGTGGGCCCTGCCAGCTGCTCGCAGGCAACGAACCGTAAATCGCTGTTCCCACGTTTCCTTGCAGATACAGTGTGTCCGCCTCTCTCTACTGAAGCCTCCTTGCCCGCTGATCCCAGTTGCTAATTGTTGATAAACTATTTTATTGATTTATGGCATCGACACAGAAAAGTGCACCGGTTAGAACATCCCCACGTGGACACCCCCGATCTCGGGCAACCCCTCGGCCTGGGGAGGCCATGGTCTCCAGTCCCCGGGGGAGAGAACGAGATCGGACAGACTCAGTGCTTCCTCCCAGGTCCCCAGCTGGGAAGGGACTTGAAGGGAGGCAAGGCCAGACCTCCCATCCCACGGTCAGGGAGCAGGTCTGAGAGGCTGGGGGGTGGTGGGGGTGTGGAGGCTGGAAAGGTGGGAGGTGCCAGCTGGGAGCAGAGAACTGAGTGGCTGAGCCAGAGACACTGAGGGGAGATGGACCCAGGAGGGTGTGGAGCAGCCGGGCGTGTGTCTTTTAAACTATATCTTTTTGGCAAAATGAAAACATAACCACCCCATCTTAAAATCTCCAGTTAAACTCGGCCGACGTGGCTCAGTGGTTGAGCGTGGACCTATGAACCAGGAGGTCACTGGTTCAATTCCTGATCAGGGCACAGGCCTGGGTTGCGGGCTTGATCCCCAGTGTGGGGCGTGCAGGAGGCAGCCGATCGATGATTCTCTCTCATCATTGATGTTTCTATCTCCCCCTCTCCCTTCCTCTCTGAAATCAGTTTAAAAAAATAATAAAATAAAATATGCCAACATTGACCTCAAAAGCAGGCGCGCGTGGGCCAGAATAGTACTGGCCATCGCGACGTTCCTGCGCCCATGTGTAAACATGGCACGTGTGTCTATTCTTTTTCAGATTGCGAAAGCAGCATGTGTTTATTGTGGGGAGCACAGAGAGATACAATACAGAAAGTAGGTCGCCCGGCCGGCCGCCGCGCCGGGACATCTGGCGGAGTGCATTCCCAGAGTTTATGTTTTTCCTGCGTTAGATGTTTTATGTGCCTGTTTTCTACACAAATAAAACCTTTAGTACAGAAAGCCTTTGTAGTCTCTCTTTTATTGATTTTTAAAAAATATATATTTTACTGATTTTTTACAGAGAGGAAGGGAGAGGGATAGAGAGTTAGAAACATCGATGAGAGAGAAACATCTATCAGCTGCCTCCTGCACACCCCCTACTGGGGATGTGCCCGCAGCCAAGGTACATGCCCTTGGCTGGAATCGAACCTGGGACCCTTCAGTCCGCAGGCCGACACTCTATCCACTGAGCCAGACCGGTCAGGGCTGTAGTCTCTCTTTTAGAAATATTCGAATGTGAGCCATTGGGCGGCACTTGGTGCCTTCGGGGCGCTGGGACCCGCCTGGCCCCATGGCGCCTGGCGCTTCGCTGGCGCTCCTCGCTCTGCACACGCTTCTCCCAAATGAGAGCTGTTACTGTTGGGCTCTTGAGCCACGCCCGAGTCCCAGCTCTCTTTACGTGTCCTGGTCTTGCCCTTCGGCTGCTGCGAGCATCCTTTTACCTTTCCTCCTGGTGTCTGCCTGTTTCCTTATGGCAGGACCAGCAACCACGCCCCACCCACAGCTCCCACCCCTCTCCCAGCTGGCTCAGGGAGCTGTATCTGCAGGGAGACCTCCCACACCCAACCATGGGCCTCCCACACCCACCCGCCTGGGCCTCCCCTGGCTGCCTCAGAGCCTCCCCAGCACCCTGTCGCCCGGGGGTGTGGTCCTCAGGCTTCCTTCTCTCTGACATCCCGCTGTGCCCCCTCCCCAACCCCCAGCCATCCTGCCACCTCCCGCCCGCCCGCCCCGCCTCCCAGGCAGCCCACCCCAGGTCCAGGGGACTTATCTCCAGGAATTCCTCTCACTCTGTCACTTCCTCCCATCTCCCGATCACCTCTGCTCCAGGCTCCCACCTGGGCTCTGCAGTTGATCTACAGCCACATTTTCAGGATGCTGATCTGGTGTGTCAGCCCCACCCTCCCTCAGGCCTTCCCTGACTTCCCATTCTTTTAGGATAAAGATCTGAGGCCTTGATGTGCCTGCAGGCCTGGTTCCTGCACCCTCTGCTACAGTGGCTGGGGCTCCTGCCTCCTGGGTCCTCCTCCAGCTCCTGGTGCGCATTTGTTCTCCACCTCAGGGCCTTTGCACAAGCTGCTATCTGTCGGAATCTCTCTCCCCTCCTCCGTTTGCCCTGACTAATCCTTGTTCATTTCTGGATCTCAGCCCAATCTCCCTTCTGCGGGAAGGGGAAGCCCTCCCTGGGCCCCGACCACCTGTGAACCTGTGAGTGCCCTTGGATGATCGCTTGGTTGCTGTCTGTTTTCCTACCAACGAGGGACCGTATTGACTAATCAAGAAATGTGTTGACTCAGCCGACGAAAAAACAATTAGTTACTGGGACGAAGCCCATGGGCCGTTTAAAGCTCTTGCTCTATACTGCCAACGCGCTTTCTGGAAAGGGGCGCAGTACACGCTCTTGCATATGAGGGTGTCGGCGTAGCCACGCCTCCAACGTCAGTTCCATATGTTGTGGCCGAATGCACGGAGCACGAAGAGCCAGCTCTGAGGGAGGGAAGGTGAACCTGTATTTCACAGATCTGCTAGTCCAGGGGGTTCCGGATCCAAAGCCTGCACTGAACTCGTGCGGAGGCTCTGACCTCTGTATCTCCTCCTGTGGTGGCCCCTGAGGCCCCGTAGCCCCCCAAGTCAGCTGTGGCGGGGCCCTGGGGTTAGGCTCTGCAGCTCCCCCAAGTCAGTCAGAGTGGGGAAGGAAGACTACAGTTTCAACCAGGTACTGAACTAGGTTGCAAGCCCCCCGCCCCCCATTTTCCTTTTCACATACACTCAGCAAGGCCTCGGTCGTCTAACCGGTCCAGAGGACAGTCGGCGGCAGAGCTGCTGGGCCCCGCAGGGAGAGAGGCTGAGCATGCAGGTGGCCAGGGCCCTCTCGGGTCCGAGGGCAGGAGCCATTGCTTGGTTGGCCTGGCAAGGCCAAGCCTGACCACTCGGGCCTGGAAGCCTGGGGAGGGGAAAGGCCTGGCAAGAAGCTGACAGAAGAGAGAGAAGAAAAGGTGAGTAGAGCCTTAGCTGGTTTGACTCAGTGGATAGGGCGTCAGCCAGTGGAGCGAAGAGTCCTGGGTTCGAGCCCAGTCAAGGTCAAACGCCCCATGCAGGAGGCAGCCGATCAGTGATTCTCTCTCATCATTGATGTTTCTCTCTCTCTCCCTCTCCCTTCCTCTCTGAAATCAATAAAAATATATTTAAAAATAATAATAGAATAAACCACTCAGTGTGGAGTACTTTGTTACGCAGCAGTAGATACCGAACACACTCCCCCAGTGTGGAGGTCTCAGGGTGGCCAGACTCCGAGTTCAAGGATCACAACCAAACAGGCCCTCTCAGATCCAAGGGGAGGGGACCAGGGAGGAGTGAATGGCAGGGCCACGCTGCGACGAGCAGGAGGCTGGGAGAGAGCCCCGCGGCCATTTTTGGAAACTATGTTCAGACACCGCCCGCCCACAACACGCATCCCTCCCACGTGCAACATGTGCCCGCCCGACCCTGGGGACCCTCAGGACCCATCCCTCGTGGTTTGGGGCTTAGATCCGAGGTGCAGGACGTGGTCATGGAGAGCGAGTCCTTGCAGAGGGGCCCTGGGGGAAGGGTCTGCAGTCCTGGCCGGGCTCTCCGTGCCCTCTGACCCTGTCTGCTGAGTCACCCTTCTTTTCGCAGGAGAAGTCTGAGCTCGGACCGAGCAGCGTTCCCAGCCTGCTTCCTCCCTTCAGGAGGTCAGAGTGCAGCCGCCTCCTCTCATTCTCTTCTGTCCTCGTCCCATTTAGCCTGCGAAACTGAATCCTTGGAAAACGTGGGGGAGGGGGGTGCGCTGCCTATTAATTTAAAATCTCCATGAGATAAAACCGTACCCAGAGGCCTTTAAAAAGATTAACAGGCCGTAGCCGGTTTGGCTCAGAGCGTCTATCTGAAAGGTCTGGGACTGAAAGGTCCCAGGTTCGATTCCGGTCAAGGGCATGTACCTTGGTTGCAGGCACATCCCCAATAGGAGGTGTGCAGGAGGCAGCTGATCGATGTTTCTCTCTCATCGATGTTTCTAACTCTCTATCTCTCTCCCTTCCTCTCTGTAAAAAATCAATAAAATATATTTTTTAAAAAAGATTAACAGACTTTTAAAGAGAGATGTATAGGTATCTATATGTAGATATATATGTATGTAGATATATATCTTTGTAGAGATTTCAGAGAGGAAGAGAGAGGTGGAGAGAGAAACATCAATGATGAGAGGGAATCATTGATTGGCTGCCTCTCTGCACACCCCACAACCCGGGCACGTGACCTGACGGGGAATTGAACCATGACCTCCTGGTTCGTAGATCGATGCTCAACCACTGAGCCACGCCAGCCGGGCTGCACAGACATTTTTTTGAGCAGTTTCAGTTTACAGAAATAGAAACTGGAGAGTACAGAGTTCCCATATGCACCCCCAGCCCCTGTTCCCCTAAGGTCTCATTACCATGAGGAATCTTTGTTACAACTGAGGAGCCAATATTAATATGATTATTGCCCGGAGTCTGTTGCGCACATTAGGGTTCACTCTTGGGGATGCACATTCTATCTGACGAATGTCTAATGGCGTGTGTCCACCATTACAGTGTCAGACAGGGTGGCTTCGCTGCCTAAGAGCCTCTGAGCTCCACCGGCCCCTGCCTCCTCCTCCCCCAGCTCCTGGCCCCTCTGCTTACCGTCTCGTTTTGCCTTGTGGACGAAAAAGGGGCCACATGCTCCCCCGACAAGCTCAGGGGAGGCGCAGTAATCCCACAGGCGGTCGGAACATCAGCGTTCCTAACGCAAAGCGGGTCATCGTGGGTGGTCACGTCTAGGCCGGTAGCTTCCTGGACAAAGGTCAGCCTTTACCTTTGGAGCTGTCTGGTCTTCGGGCATCTGAGATAACATACCTGTAAATGTCGGCCGAATCTTCACTCCCAGACCCCGGAAGGCACACCCTCGGCACCAGGGCCAGAGCTGAGCCCACGTCACTATCTCTTCCCTCGGACCATCTCCGTGCGCCGAGTGTTCACGGTAACGGTCCTGGACCCACTGAGGGGCCGACTCCAGGTCCCTCTCCTCCGCCCACGGGTGAGCACCAGGGCACCTCCGTCCAAGCCAACAACGTGCCCATTCGCTGGATTCTTGAAAGGTGGTTGGGTGTGGGACCCGCGGGCATTAGCGTTAGTGGAATCATCATGCTACCGGCCAGAACCAGACACAGCTAAGCCTCTGGTGCAAGTGGCAATTGTGTGCGTGGGGTGTGTGCCCATGGGGTGTGTGTGTGTGTGCATAGTGTGCGTGGGGTGTGTGCCCGTGGGGTGTGTGTGTGTGTGCATAGTGTGCGTGGGGTGTGTGCCCGTGGGGTGTGTGTGTGTGTGTGCATAGTGTGCGTGGGGTGTGTGTGTAGGGGTGTGTGTGGGTGTTCGTGGGGTGTGTGTGGGTGTGTTTGGGTGTGGGTGTGTGTGTAGGGGTGTGTGTGGGTGTGTGTGGCCATCCCAGAATCCAAGCACAGGTGTTCACAATTCAGCTCCCCTCCCCAGGCCTGTGGCTGCTCCCTGCCGACCCCTTCCCTCCCTCAGCCTCTGACTGATCCCCAGATAAGGGTTTGGGGGTGCTCCAGGTGGAGTCGGTGTCCACTCAGCTCCCGTCAGGGGGAAGGTCACCCGGCGGCTGCTCCTTTGCAGGGCTGTGGCTGGGCAGATTTCTTCACAAGGGGGTGGGGCACCCACAGACCAGCTGGGCCACATGTGCCTCGGTTCCCAGTCACAAGTTCCCACGCTCTGGAGGGGGACAGGAGGAGAGTTCTTGGTGCTATTTGCGGTGGAGGGCAGGGGCAGGGGAGCTGTGCTCAGCTGGTGTGTGCCCACGGAGTCGGGGCCTCGCTGGCAAACCCAGGAGTGCCCACGCGGTGTATCCCTGGCACATTCCCTGACGCCCCGCCTCCCAGGCGTGGCCCCGCCTCTACCCTCCCCAGCACCTTGGCTCCCTGGCATCATCTCAATAAAACTAGACAAAATCCAGCGCTTCCGCCTCTGTACAAACGAGGCATTTACTAGGGAAACTGTCTATAAGGCACAAAAACAGCTTCCTGCTGCCGTGTCTGCCTGGGACTCACACCCCGACCCGCACTACCCGCGTCGGAAGCACGCGAGTCCGTGTCTGCGCTTCTATGGCGCTTACCGCGCACCGCACCCGGCGCAGAGCGGACGCGCCACGGGGCCCCACGCACCCACTTTCCAGGTGAGGCCCCCAGGCCCTGGCTCATCAGAGAGTCCGTGCCGCTGCCCTTCGATTGCCGGAGGTAGCGGCGAAGGCGCGGAACCCCGCCAGC